TAAGTTGTATCAAGTTAACTATGCTAAGCTATAAGTTGTATAAGTAATCTATACTGTTTCTTAGAAATTGCTAATGGCTGCTTTTCCATTTCATAATAAATGTTAATTAATATAAATAATCAGATATGCCATTAGCATTTTTATGTAACATGTATTACTTCTCTTACATTTTTAAAGAATAAGTTGTATCACATGTGCATATGTTTACATATGTATGATTGAATTGAAATCAAGTCACAGTCTCTAAGTTTAAAATTCAATAAGTTGCAGTCAGAATCGGAGCTTTTAAATTTCAAATTTTAGGAGTCGGAGTTAGAGACGGAATATTTAAGTTTAAAATTCTAAGAGTCGGTGTCGTTAAGCTTAAAATTCTAGGAATCGGAGTCTACAAGTTTTAAATTCCATGAGTCGGAATCATAAGGTTAAAATTCCAGATGACTGAGTCATAGTTGAAGTCGGTCATTTTCCCTGAATTAGAGACGGAGTCTTTAAGTTTAAAATTCAAGGAATCTTTAAATTTAAAATAATTAGAATCTTTAATGTTCAAATTTTAGGAGTTTAAGCTAGAGACGGAATATTTAAGTTTAAAATTCTACGGTTACCTTAAGCTTAAAATTCAAGGAGTCGGAGTCTTTAAATTTAAAATAATCAGAATCTTTAATGTTCAAATCTTAGGAGTCGGAGTTAGAGACGGAATATTTAAGTTTAAAATTCTAAGAGTCGGTGTCTTTAAGCTTAAAATTCTAGGAGTCGGAGTCTACAAGTTCTAAATTCCAGGAATCAGAATCTTTAGGTTAAAATTCCAGATGTCTGAGTCATAGTTGGAGTCGGTTATTTTCCCTAAATTAGAGACGGAGTCTTTAAGTTTAAAATTCAAGGAGTCGGAATCTTTAAATTTAAAATAATCAGAATCTTTAATGTTCAAATTTTAGGAGTGGGAATTAGAGACGGAATATTTAAGTTTAAAATTCTAAGAGTCGGTGTCGTTAAGCTTAAAATTCTAGGAATTAGAGTCTACAAGTTTTAAATTCCAGGAGTCGGAATCTTAAGGTAAAAATTCCAGATGTCTGAGTCATAGTTGGAGTCGATCATTTTCCCTATCAATTGCCAAAGCCTTGATTAAGAGTGAGAAACTAGATAGAAAAATAAAACTAAAACTCTAGATGGCGCTAGCAAGGATACCTTCACGTATCAAAACATATTTTTCAAAATGTATTGATGCGAATATAGTTACAAATGCAAGAAGAAGAAAAATTCTCCGTCGTTTTATTTATTGCAAAAAAACAAACAACGTATAGATCAGACTCATTTTGAATATCATTTAATCTCAAGTGACGATGCATTAACTTTTCTTGTTCTTTTTTGAAAGAAGAAACAATCTTGAGTGTTTTGTTTGAAGTCAGTTTTCAGTTACAGTGAGTAAATAATGGCTTAATTAAGACGTCAACTGCTTACATGAATATAAATAAGTTTTTTAAATGCAAAGTGAAAATTTCCCTTTTCTAACGTCTCCATATTCCGCTTTTTTTTCAGCCTTTGATTTTTTTTTCTCCTCCTTACTTCTGAAGGAAAAGAAGATTTTTAAATTTTTTACTAGAATAGCTTTAACTTGAAAATGATGAGAAAGGTATTTAATGTGCTTTATGCCTACCGGTAAATTCGTAATGGCATTTATAACGAGTGTTCTATGTCAATAAGATAGTGAAAGTGGTTGCAAACAATATTGTTATCAAATTAAATATACGAGTACTATTCCGCTTGGAACGATGCATCTATTGTTCAATACATGGAATGCAAATTTTCGGAGGGGAAAAAAAGTAGCAACTAAGGTCAAAAACTTAGTGATTCATATTATTAACTGGGACCGGGATTGCCTGGTTGGCAGGGCGCTGGACTCGCGTTCGTGAGAACGGGAGTTCGAATCCAGCTGGTCGAAGATTCCTCCGTTTAGTAAATGGTGACTGGTGCCCGTTAAATATGTCCGGTCACAAAGTACTCCATGCTCCCATAACAAATTATACCTCTGGGGGTACTGAATTTAAGAATGGTCGTTCTCTGGTTCAGATCAAAATTACGTTTTGTGGATGAATGTGTATGAGGGGGTCTGCCCCATGAACGAGTGAGACGTATGATGCGGCAGGAGTCGTATTCTTGAAGATAGATGGCACCCCTGGAAAACAAGAACAATCGCACTCCTTGCCTTATTGGTTTCCGACAACAACAACATATCATTAACTACCATAATATCATCTCCTGTGTTTTGCAATACAATATAGTTTTTTTTAAAATTAGTTTTTGTAAAGATTTAAGGCGAGAAAAATATAAAAAGTAGTTTTAATTTTTAGTTAATTTTTTTATTTGATCTGTTTAATTATTCAGTCTTAACTACCACCATGAATGAATGCAAATTATTTATGTGTAAAACGTCCTTTATGTGTAAACGTATGTCCTTTCCTTTTACAGAGACGCCAACTTGCTCCGGACAACGGATAAATATTTTCATGTGGTAGTCTTTTAATATATGATTCTTGGTTTAGTAAATTCGATTTATAGGGTTTTTACTCACCATTACTTCAAAATAATTCAAAGGCTTATGCGATATGTCGCTTTGTAACAGTTAATCCAAGGGCTTCCCTGACCGTGACCGAGCGGTATCGCCCGCCAAACGCAGTGTGAATCGTGGGCGTGGCGGTTCGAATCCCTGGAAGTATTTTTTGCAATGTCAAAGGTTTACTTGACAAAGGTTTATAAGCCTAAATTGAGCAAATGTATGTAATTTCAATAAACAATACGATTAATCTGTGTTGAGCCAAAGCCTCCTATAACTGAAAGCCTCCACACGGTTTTTTATAGGTTGTCCGATCAGACCACTATGAAGTCAAAATAGTTTACGAAACAGCCATTTAATACAAAATCCAGTTAAAATAAGAAAGTGGTAGCAAATATATGACAAAAAATTTGTTTTATTTATGAATATTATTGGTTTGCCTCATTCACTTGTCAACCACTACAGATTCAATTCTCAAATATATAGAATAAATTTCTCTCAATTACTTTTATAAAAGATTTTGGGTTCATGCGCACAACTGGCTCACTTTTTAAATAGTCTGCGCGGACTACTTATAAAAGACCGTGTGGAGGCTTTCTGATGCAGTAGGTGATAGTTGAGCCGTTTAAAAAGGTAGAAAAATGAGCCGAAAATCAGCAAATTTTAGTAGGTAGTTCTCTTACCGTTTTTTTTTTTTTTTAATTTTTTTACATACTATTTTGTAAATTCCTGAGCATTGGGCATTTCTAGAGTCACTTTCTGTTGAAAACTGAAAGAAATATGCAAAAAAATTGCTAATTTTTAATCTCTTTTAACACGTTCCCGCCGGGTTGACCCACCGGTGAGTCACGCTACATCGTCTCATCGGGCGGTGCACCGAAGTAAAAACTGGTAACAAACAAATTTCATTTTTTAGTTTTTTTTACGGGAATAATAAAAATCCATAACTACCAATTGTTTTTAACGGATGCAATTTTTATATTGAATTGCTTCTTCGCCGTGATAAATTTTCTTACAGTGAATTGTTATTGTTGAGAATAGATTAACTCCTCCCGAATATTATCTATCATTGAAATAGTTCTTCTACCAGTATTTTCTCTTTTCCGTCCCGCTTTCAGGCGCAACAACCGGCGTGAACGTGTTAATAGACTTTTGCTTCTTATATGTCACCACTTTTAACAGTTTTAGTCGCCCGTTACTGTTTTAATAAAATGCTTCTTTTCTTTAAAATTTAGATCGCTGAAATTGTTATAGTTACAAATAAATTTATACCTTCCGAAAGTTATCGATTACTGAAGTAAATTAACGACCAGTATTTTCTATTTTCCGTCTCGCTGCCAGTCCTGGTCCTATTAGACCTCTATGATTTAAAATAGGAAATTCCAATAACTTTTACATTTTTCTAAGACCAATAGGAATCCTGTAAATTTAAAGTATTGATTGGGGTGTTGTGGGATGTACTTAAAGAACCGAATGTGCAAAAAACAATTACAGTGAAACCCCGCTATAGTGAACACGGTTTATAGTGAACTTCCGGATATAGTGAGCGAAATGTTAGGTCCCGTGCCTTGCTATACACGTATAATGTTATTTTTTGTGGATATAGTGAACCAAAAAAGTGAGGAAGTTGGATATAATGAACTTTTTTCTGTCTTCAACTGATTTTTTTCCTCATTTTTTTATAATAATTTTTAAATTTTTACTTTAAAATAATTACATATACCGATTTTTAAAACCATCTATAGAGGGGAATTTAGCGATAAGCTTCTTTTATCTCACTTTCCCATCCCTAAACAAACCAAGCAGATATTTCCAACCCTGGCAGATAATGCACCTGTAAGGTGTCAGTGGGATCAATATGCATTTTCTGTCAGGATTATGAGATTGCTCATCAACTAAAGATTACTAATTTTTTTTTTCTTTTTTGTAAGCAAGACGAAGAGTAATGAAAAATAACACATTTTCGCTACTAAATAATATTTTTCAGTCATTTATTTAAATAATGTGTAATAAAAGGGAGGAGTTTGGGAACCATTAGTTAAATTGCCTGCGTAACGGATATAGTGAACTCCCGGTTATAGTGAACCAAAATTTCGGTCCCTTGAAGGTTCACTATAGCGGGGTTTGACTGTATTATTGTTTCATTGTGCAAAAATTTGTACTTGTTAGAAAAAGGGTACTGAACTTTTAATGAACGAACACTTTTTTCAATTTGCGCATGTGTTTGTATTATTAGGGTATAAAAAGAACAATTGCTAATGTAAACAACAATGCGTTGCATGGAGAGGAAAACCTCCCACGGTTAGCCTGACGGCAAGGGGACTCCAGGTTCTCTCTACCACTGAGGTGGAAGCTCAATGAGGAAGGTGAACTCTCAATGTTTGAATGGTTCACCATTCAAACATTGAGAGTACTTACCCTACATATCTACTTACAGTACATATCTACTTACCCTACTCGTTCTTGTTCTACTTTATCCAAATTCTCAGCTCTTTTGATTACGCCCATTATGACTTCCTGTTCTGCATCGCTCAGAGTTTCCGGTTTATTGAATGAATTGATAGAGTTCGTTTTCACAGACCATCCTGTCTTAAGTCTAATTAGGAAACAGATTTATTTAACCACATAGTATTTTCATTATGTTAAATCATTTTATCAGAAGAGAAAAATTAAATAGCAATGTTAAGTCTAAAAATTTTTCCCAAATTAACTTTTTTTTATCCTGCCTTAGGCATAGGATAACAAGCCTTTCAGAAAATAGATCAATCGTTTGTTAAGAGATGGCGCCACACATTCTGCGGGTTTTGCCAAAATGGCCCCTTAAATATAACGTCATGAATATTTTTCAAACGTTATTATTTAAATTTAATTAAAACTCATACATAGTGATATCGAGTTATTCGATTACAAAGACTGTATCAATGAAATCTCAATGCTACTCTATTTTTTTCTTTTTAAAACATATGCGTCTCAAATTTTAACTTGGATTCTGAATTTCACAAAGATTTTCGAAGCTCTTTCGCCAAACAAAATTAAAAAAATAGTCACAGTGTACGCACTTTACACTTGAAGCAAAGCTACAATTTTAAACTGTATATGCAATCTCGTTTTATTATATGGGCTTTAGAACAGGCAAATAACTTTAATATTTTAATTGTATTATACTTATTAAAATTCGCCAATTTGGCAACAATTTCCCACCTATATGGAAATTATCAGTCATGTTCCCAATTTTCAAAAATTTTTATGAGCCCAGATAATGCAGCATTGTAGTAAGTTTCTAAATTTAAAAAATTAGACCGCAAATGCTTTTCATTATCTCAAAACTGTGGCTTTTGTCCATATTGATGTTTTGCTCGATTTACAGAATAAACAGCTCAATTTAACGCTGCAAAGTTGAGTTGAGTTGTTTGCCTCCAGCTGCTGAGTTGAGTTGTTTTCATCCTGTTGCTGAGTTGAGTTGTTTGCCTCCTGCTGCTGAGTTGGTTTGAGTTGTTTGCCTCCTTTTGCTGAGTTGAGTTGTTTCTCTCCTGCTGCCAAGTTGGGTTGAGTTGTTTTCCTCTTGTTGCTGAGTTGAGTTGTTTGTCTCCTGTTGCAGAGTTGAGTTGTTTTCCTCCTGCTGCTGAGTTGAGTTGTTTCTCTCCCGCTGCTGAGTTGAGTTCAGTTGTTTCCCCTCCTGCTGCCAAGTTGAGTTGAGTTGTTTCCCTCCTGCTTCCAAATTTAGTTGAGTTGTTTCTCTCCTGCTGCCAAGTTGAGTTGAGTTATTTCCCTCCTGTTGCAGAGTTGAGTTGTTTCTCTACTGCTGCTGAGCTGAGTTGTTAGCGTGCTGCATATTTTTTGAGTAATCATTTTTTGAGTTTCACTTTTCACGTTATCACTACGTAATCACTTTTTACGTAATCATTTTTCGCGTAATCACTTTTTTTTTGTAATAATTTTTTCTAAGCAGTAGTACAACATTAGTTACTAATTTTCCGCGTACACCAGAAAATTCAATATTTAAAACTTGAACAGATTGAAACAGTGCGACTCTATCTGTAATCAGTATGTGTTATCACGTGTGTATATCACGGTTCTTTTTTTTTAATTTCATATTGAAGGAGACTTGGTTTCATTATAAAAGTATTCATCTTTTTTAAATTTTAGTAATGCAACGAGGCTAGAAAAAGAAGCAAAAACCCCTAGAGATTCTTCAAAGTCTGCCTTGATAAACAAAATAAAAATAAATAAAACTGATAGTTTTATTTTCTTCCTTCTCTGACTATTTGAAAATTTACAATAAAATTAGTGTTCAATACAAACATATTTGTGTGTTAAACAGCAATCGCTCTATCAGTCTGTTTTAAACACAAAACTCTTTTTCGATCTTTCACTAATTTTCAAAAAAAGAGAAATCAAAACAAAGTAACATATAAAGATTCAATTATAAAGTTTACTTATTATTAATTGCGAACTTTAACTGTATATGTTGAATACATTTTAAAGGTGTAGAATATTTTGAAACGCCCGGTGGTGCTGGCTGAAAATAGACTAAACTTGACCGAACTCTATAGTTTAGTCTATTTCAGCCACGTAGTCTATTTTCAGTCATATTTTAAATCACGTAACTGTTTCAAACTTACATTAGTTAAGAAAGTAGCAAATCATTCACAAAAAAAGCATAATCTCTTGCGACTACAAAGCCTTTCGAAAAATAGTCTTAACCAATATAACATAACAAATCATACAACATATTATCTATAATCATTCAAATAAATGTAATCAAACTAATAAATATATACGTAAAGAAAGTAACATAAAGAAACATAAGAACATAAAGAAACTAAAAATCAAGAATATAAATGACATTTTTAAACTCTTAACTTATTTGACAATCACTAAAATAATTCATGCTCATTCATTCTTTATAAGCTTTCTTACTTTGCTCGAAGTGAAAGCTCTCGATCGTTTGGACAGACCCACTTATCTCGGGCCATTCCAAAATCTCCCATACTGCCACCCCTGGGCCTGAAAGAGGAAGTACGGCTATCCAGTTTGAATCCTTAGGTGTCAGGACCTGCAACGAATACACAATACATAATGATTTATTTTTAATACAGATAAAGCTTAGGGCTAAAATAAGTAAGTAAAAATAAGTACAAAAGAAACAATTAAATATGAAAAAAATGAACAACCGAAGCTGACGTCTTCAGGGGTACCAGCTCCGGACGTCATAAAAACAAAAGCTTTTCTATCGAGAGAGCACGACAAAAGTCCAAAATTGCTCTCTCTGTACCCCAAAGGCAGAGTTGAGTTGTTTGATTTTATTTAAGAAAGGTGTAAATTATTTAAAATGTATATTATAAATGATATGTATAAATGTATATGTATATAAATGCATATTATGTATAAATGTATATGTATAAATGTATATGTATAAATGTATATGTATATAAATGTATATTATGTATAAATGTATATGTATAAATGTATATGTATATAAATGTATATTATGTATAAATGTATATGTATAAATGTATATGTATATAAATATATGTATATATGTATATGTATATATGTATATGTATATATGTNATTTTTTCACCATGTACAATCTAAATAGCTAATATACTTTTTTAAAAGCCAATAAGAACATTGGTAGAATTCTTCTACATAAGTACAATACTATGTCTTTGATGATAAAATACTATGTCTTTGATGATAATATATTATGTCTTTGTGCTAGAACATTGTGTTCATTGGCGAGCGAGCGCAGCGAGCCATGGTTCACGGCGTGAACCACATAGGATTGCGTAGCAATTCTCGGGGGTTGGCGAGCGTTAGCCAGCAGGGGGCGGAGCCTCCTAGTATACTTTAATAAACACATGATGTCTTTTTTTGTTTCTCTTGAAACTGTTCTGCCATTAGGATATAATATAGATTGAGTTATATTTTTTAAATTTACTGGCCTACCTATTTTTGTTTTCTTTTATATCAATTACATGAAAGGTATCATCCTCGCCAAAATTACATTTCAACTTAATGCTGCTTGGGTTTGACCTTTCCAATTTTATCCATCAAAGCTTATGTAAAAAAATATTGATAAAAGGTGGACTTATTCACAATGGCTTCTGAAATGATTCTACAATATATTCAGAAGCTATTAAAAAAAGGGCTGTCTAACCTAGAAAAAAGTAACCAACGAGTAAATCCTTTAATAACTAAGAAGATTATTATTTATTTCATCAAAATTTCCAAAAATCAGAAAATATCAAAAAATGAACTTAACCGCATTGGCTTTTGAGCGGCTCAATTATTCATAGAAATATCACGGTTAGATCCATGTTTTCAATCTTATTGTAAGACAAGACATTCAAAATGTATCGTGATAATTTTTGTATATTCGATATTGTTGTCAATAATTATCGTATATAGTACATTCTGTGATAAATCGATAAATCACATGACTCTTGTAAATTTTTTATAATTTCCAATATTGTTTAAAAGGGATTTTTATCTAGATAAATAATGAAATCTCCTCTAGCACGATATCATTTACATCTCATATAAACGAATGACTGTTATGAATTATTCATAGAAATATCACAGTTAGATCCATGTTTTCAATACTTATTGTAAGACAAGACATTCAAAATGTATCGTGATAATTTTTGTATATTCGATATTATTGTCAATAATTATCGTATATAGTATCGTATTCTGTGATAAATCGATAGATCACATAACTCTTGTAAAAATTTCTATAATTTCCAATATTGTTTAAAAGGGATCTTTATCTAGATAAATAATGAAATCTCCTCTAGCACGATATCATTTATAAATATTCACATTTCATACCAAGGAATGACGGTTATGAATTATTCAGATAAATCTTTGAAAAACACGCAAGAAAATGAATATTTGGAGTGATGGATGAAAAAAGAATAATATCCCTACCATTCAATTGAAGCATATTTGCAAGGAAAGGGGAGAGAGAATGTTTTTACAAAACGTCCGGCAGTTAGCGTGACATCCGGCTGCTTAATGTGGCTCGGTTTATCCAGTTATGTGCCTGCAAGACAAGAATAAATAAATAGTTGTACATTTATAAATAGTGAATAAGAGATTCTGTGACTGTGAAATTTCTGAGTCTTTAAAGTATCTAAGATATAATAATAAATTTCAAATAAATTAATAAATAATAATAATAATAATAAATTTCTAATAAATTAATAAATAATAATAATAAATTTCTAATAAATTTATAAATAATAATAATAGATTTCTCATAAATTAATAAACAATAGTAATAATAATAAATTTCTCATAAATTAATAAACAATAATAATAATAATAATAAATTCCTAATAAATTAAGAAATAATAATAATACATTTCTAATAAATTAATAAATAATTAATCGGAATTTAAGAAGTATTCCATTTAGAGCTGCTTTCACTCGCTAATCTTCACATTTTCACAATATTTTTATAAACAGCACTTTATAAGAGAAAGAATACCAATAAAATAGTTTATTCAGAATTTACGTCTCTGATTTAAACTCCTCAACTATTTTTTAGACTTTAATTTTAAAGAAATTTCTGAGTCTTTAAAGTTTCTAAGATATAATAATAAATTTATAATAAATTAATAAATAATAATAATAAAGTTCTACAAAAAAAAAAAACCACGTTAATCGGAATTTTAAGAAGTATTCTATTTAGAAGTATTAGAAGAATTACTTTCACTCACTAATCTTCACATTTTCACAATATTTTTATAAACAGCACTTTATAAGAGAAAGAATACCAATAAAATAGTTTATTCAGAATTTACGTCTGTAATTTAAACTCCTCAACTATTTTTTAGACTTTAATTTTAATGAAATTTCTGAGTCCTTAAAGTTTCTAAGATATAATAATAAATTTATAATAAATTAATAAATAATAATAATAAAGTTCTACAAAAAAAAACAGTACCACGTTAATCGGAATTTTAAGAAGTATTCTATTTAGAAGTATTAGAAGAATTACTTTCACTCACTAATCTTCACATTTTCACAATATTTTTATAAACAGCACTCTATAAGAGTAAGAATACCAATAAAATAGTTTATTCCTAATTTACGTTGTTAATTACTGCGATTTAAACTCTTCAACTATATTTTACACTTCAATTTTAATTCTTTAAATAATTTTAATTCTTTTAAAGTTTTTATTATTCATTTTTATTACTTTTTCTTCCAATAAATGGTTTTGTTGATTAAATTTTCCAAATATTTTTGATAATGTGTTTTTTAATAGGTGGCAGCAATGAAATATAATTTGCTTCACATTTTTTCTACCAAATATATTTTTAAAAATTATTTTATACGATTTAAGCTATAAGTTCTGTTTTATATCTTTTCCTTCTTAACCAATTTTTGTTAACTGTGAGATTAGTATACCTATTTTTCAGGCATTTTAACTTTAATTCCACACCGGTAAGTTTATTTTATTTTTTTTTTTTTTTATCTCAGCTTCGGAATATCTGAGCTCAATTTCAAAAGCATTTTTATTTTTTAGCAATATAGACGCATTATAAAAAGTAATTTCTTATAATTATTCTTTAATTATTAAATTATTTCTGATAATTATTCTTTATTTTGAAATATTGCATTTACCATCGTAGAGGAATGCGTCCTAAAGATGCGTCCCGTTTTTTCATTAAAAAATTTTCCATTTTGTTTTATTTTATAATTAGTTTTTGTGTATATAATAATTATTTAAAATGACATAAAAGAAAAAATAGAACTATTTTTTAAGCGCAGAGAAACCAGGTTCTGAAAGACAAAATAAAGTTCTTCAAAAACATAACTTCTCATTTAAATACATTTTCTTAAAAAAATTGTATTTAGTGTAATAATCGCAAATATATTAAAACAGATATTTGTTTTTCGCCACCACTCTTAAAAATTTGAGAGAACACTCTAATAAAAAATTATTTTGTTAAAAAATATAAACACCATTACTTTTTTCTTTAAAACTAATAAAGTATTTAAATATAAATAAGTGAACTTAATAAGTTACTTAGTAATCGAAAGTGAACACTTAAAAACTAAAGTAAATTTGTTATTTTGTCAATTGTTACATATTTAATCTGTTTGAAAGTGTGCTAAGGAAGTTAACTGTAATAGAAGAGAAAATAGATAGAATGTTTAAATAAAAAGAAAAAAATTATACGCGTTTACAGTGTTTATTTAAACAACTTTTTAAGGAATATATATATATGAAATTTCTGAGTCTTTAAAGTATCTAAGATATAATAATAAATTTCTAATAAATTAATAAATAATAATAATAAAT